ATATATATATATATATATATATATATATATATATATCAGTGGTCCACAGTAAATATTCTACTTTGTTGTTGTGAAATTGAACTGTTTCTTTAATGCTGGATGATGTAGGCCTAAAGGTTCACTAAGTCAGTGATTTTCTGTAAGTTGAAGAGATCATAACTTATCCCTGATTTGTTTTTAAAACAAATATACAAAAAATTAACCATTTTCATGGATTACACATAAATAAACATTTATGAACAACTGCAGGTCAAACAAATTTCTTCTGAATTAAAAAAAAGTATTTCTACAAACATTTTTCTTGCAAGATAAATGTAAAAGAGACTGCTCTCTAGTGGAAGCAAAGCACAATGCATGATATGAAATATTCATCCATCCATATCTGTACTAGCTTGTTCCTTTCTGGGTCATGGGGGGTCACTGGTGCCCATATCCAGCTATCACTGTATGAGAGGTGGGGAGACACACTGTCCATCACAGGGACACATGGAGACAAACGAGACAACCGTTCTCTCTTTCACTCTCACCTAGGGACAATTTAGAGTTACCAGTGAGTCTAACATGCATGTTTTTGGAGAGGAAAGCAGAGTACCCAGAGAAAACCCACACATGCATGGAGAGAACATGTAAACTCCACACTGAAAGGCAGCCGGGATTCGATCTGGCAACCTTCTCGCTGAGAGGCGGCAGCTCTCCGTGCCACCTATATGAAATAGGCATTAGACCTGAAACACTTTTTCACATTAGGTTTAGATTAAAAAAATTGAGCCTAGCAGCAGAATCTTTTCTTAGAGCACAAAACGCTTTGGGCAACATGTACCCTTCTGCTTGCTGCGCCTCAAGCATCAGGTATATTCCTCTGCACACCCGCACCATCCACAATCTACAGCATCTGTACATTTGCATACTCACTCATCAGCCTTGACAAAGCCAATTTCTCTAGCCTGAATTAGTGAAATGACCACTGGCGAGCCCTGAAGGAGACACAATATGGGTCACTGACCTTTCTCTGTAGACCCAGGGGTCTTTTTGTTCTGCAGGCAGCCAGCGCACAACTGACCCTCCTCCCCCAGTGCCCAAGCAGGGGCTAATGGGCACATCAGTCATCTCCGGCAGTAGCCCAGTGAACACAAACAGAACTGTTTACCACCACAACCTTTTGTGTTGATTGTGGCCACTGCCCCGTGTCCGAGCCGTGGTCCTTCCTGCATCAGTGGCGTGGGGGGTAAGTGACACTGTGCTGTTTGAGTTGAAGATGGAGGTCCATAGTGCCAGGGTGTTGAGCTTAATGTGTTTTGAAATGGTTTGCTTCGACTCAGAAAGAATACTATTCAACAGGGATATTACATATAATATATAAGTACTCTAATATAAGTATTTTGAACCTTAATATAAACCTGTTTTTAATCAAATTTGAACTCTTCAAATTGAAACCGATTAAAAATCAGTGAAGAAGCTAAGGTTGCCACGTGATCAAGTTGTCAGTTTTCTTATTTGAACATTTTAGAGATCTCCAGTATGGTTCCTGTTCCGTGTCACTGGACAGACAAGTCTGCCTGTCTCACATTTCACTGCCTGTCTGGTTCAGCTTGGTCAGCATCCAGACTGGGTCCCTCAGTGTCAACAGGAGGAATGCTTTCCTGCACAAATATCTGCACCTCATAAATGTCTCGCCCTCTGCTTGACCCTGTCTGGCCTTTGACTGTGAGAAGGTTGGAGAGGGGACAGGCAGCCCAGTGTGTGTAAATGTGTGTGTGGGTGGGTGGGTGGGGGGTAGGGTGGCGGCTGTGGGTGTGACTGTGAAGCAGAAAGGTTGAGGTGAGGTCTTGGGTTTTAACAAGATGCTGGGAGAAGAGGAGCGGACGAAC